CTAGTGTTTTTGATTTGGGTAGCTGCATAACACAAAAGTTAGGCACACGGTCAGTGTACATACTGTTTTTACATATTTATGCAGGGGGGAAGGAAGAGACGCTTTGAAAGCAAATATACTGGATCTTGTACTTCTATCCTGAAAAGAACCTAGGTACTAAAAAGCCTGGTAAAAAGAGCAAATGGTGTGTAGGTATCATTTACCCTGAAGAGTTCTGAGCGAGGCTGATGAATTGTGATAATCACAATCCTGTCTTTGTGTGCAAGCTCTGAGAGAAGCGAGACAATCTGGTTTGCAGTCAGGCAGTCCAGCCCTGTTGTTGGTTCATCGAGTAGCATGACCTCTGTGAAACGACGAGGAACAGCATTAAAACTTAAGTAAATGAGGAGCAAAAGTTATAGCTTCTGCCTTTGAAGCTAATTTGGCAAACAGTATAGAAGTTACTTCACATGTGAAGTTCCACATGTAAAACAGGGTATGCATAGATATTGCCATGACGTGATCTTTCAGTTTTCGTTAGCTACAGCGGTTCGGTTTCAATGACTAGGAATAAGGACATAAAAAACTACTGCAGGATCAGAGCACAATCATTTTTTCTAAGTTCAGGTGAAATCTGAAAAATATCAAAATTAATTTGATGTATACATCAGCTTCTAAGAACAATAATGATAAATTTCAGCGTGTGTACAAATGTAAATATAACTGACATAATTAGCTAGACGTTATAATCTGAATTATATCTACATATACACACAGAGTTTGCTATGAGCAGATTAAGAGTTGCTAAAATAAGGCATATATAATTCCATAGATCAGAGAGGTGAAGGATTTTTACTGCATTTTCTTCATGATTTTATTGTGTGTGGAAGGGTAAAAGCTACAGTCAAAGCCAGTACTTTCACATAGAGAAGACATGGCACAGAAGAGGGTAGTTCAGCCTTGATGAGGATAACGGGGGGAGGAGTGCTTTCTTTGTATGTTTATCTACATACAGTTACTACAGGCTTTGTTGATCTTGCTGAGCAATAACCACACCCAGTGAACGCTCCAGGAGTCACCAGTAGCAGTGATATACCTCACTTTGCTACTGAAATGTTTCTTCCTGCCTGCTATGCAGTCCTAGCACATCTGCACCACTACGAGGACTCCAGAATCCAACAAATACATGCTACATTCACTCCTTAAGATTCTGGCACCTTTAAGAAACTATCTCAAAAATGACAAAATTTCCAGGTTTTAGCTATGTCCCATGGCTAATCCATCTAGTCACCCTGCTTTGATTTTCATTCATTGGAACGGATGAGGCTTTGGGCAACCTGGTGTAGTGGAGGATTTCCCTGCCCATGGCAGGGGGATTGGAACTAGATGATCTTTGAGGTCCCTTCCAACCCTAACAATTCTATGATTCTATGAATTTTTTTGGCTCTGGAACGTACACGGCGCTCACACATCCGTGGCTTAACGGCAGCTTCTCTGCTACAAGGCTCAATGCTTGCATACATATGACTCTAACGCACTCAAAAACTATAAACTGATGGTCCACAGCCAACATTGCATACCCAGGAAGGGCAAGCCCAGAAAGACTTAAAACGGATAAATGCAAGTCTAAACCTACGTTCAGTCCCTAAGATTTTAAAATTGTCTGCCTTCCAAGATCAACTAATAGATTAATGGCAGACCTGAGTTACTGCTCATCCTTTTCTGACATTACTAGACTAGCTTTTGCTGATTACAGAATATAAATGCTTTTACACTTTAAAGTGCTTTATGGAGGTCCATGGTAGGTGCACAAAGTGACACTGCTTTGTTTTATTTGGAAAATCCATGCAGTGGTACTTACTGGGATCTTGTAATAGCTGGGCTGCAATTGAAACACGACGCCTCTCACCCCCAGAAATTCCTACAAAAATACGGCTTCCAATTATTTTTTCAGCAAAGTGGCTGGG